AAGTGTGTCACCTTTTGTATTGGACTTCTTCTGTTCTCTCATAAGTAATATGGAGGGGTGCTGCTGTTTGGGTGTAACCGTGTGTGTGTGTGTGTGCACGCGTGTGTCTGTGTGTTTGAGAAAAGATCTCACTATGTAGTTCAGGCTGGCCTTGAGTGCACTATGTAGCCCAGGCTGGTCTTGAACATGTAGGCATCCTCCTGCCTCAACCTCCCAAGTGCTGGGACTACAACATCCCATGTTCCTGGCTTTGGGTATGACATTCATTTCTATCTGCAGTATAAATGCCAAATTGAGTTAGAAGTGGTATAGTGAAATAAACTAGCAAAATACCTCAGTGACACAGGACAATTCAATGCAATATTCCTATATTATGGCTTTTGCACAAAACATCAATCATAAGCTTTGATCATGGAGCAGAAAACATGTAAGTTTTATAAATAAATGTGTTTTTAAAAAATCCTACTTAATATATCATTTTTTTTATTAAGGAAACCAAGGAATATTCTGAAAAGGGAGCACCTTTTTTAGTGTCCTGGAGAAAGGATAGAGGAGATGAAATGAAACTCAAGTCAAAACCCATTGATTTCATGAATCTGCTTTTGCCTTCTTTGTCCTTGTTTCGTGTGATGTCTTTGAAAATCAGTCAATCTAATTGAGCACATTCTCACAGTCACACTTTGTACATTCTTATCTTTGTTGTAATTTGAGAAATGGAAGGCATTTATTAATACAGCAGTGATAGACATTGATAAGAGTTTCAGAAGGACTGAAATATTAAAGTTGTACATGAGAAATAGAGAAGAGAATGATCTAGGCACAGCAGAGCACAATTCAGGAGAACGTGATTTTTAAAGAGCATCTGTATCTTATTTTAGTGGCGCCTTCCACATTCCCCATGATTTCCCCAAATGATTGGTGTGAATTCTGTGTTGTTTATAAATTCATTTGGTGTCTCGGAGTGCAGTTCATTGAATAGTGCTTGAGAGCATCTGGGTACCACATTATATACTTCTCACATAACAGGGCCATTAGTGCTTCTTGCCGTTTCTTCTCTGTCCTTTTCAGTCTGAAGATCATTCTCCTAGCTGGAGAAGACTAACGCAAGATAGGCATAGAGTTTCTGTTTTTTATCTCTTGAGATTGCTTTCTCTTCTTTCGTCACAAAGAGTAGGTTTGTTCTTGCCTTGTTTTTCTTTCTGTAAGCACAGGTTTTCAAAGAGTCTCCTTGTTATTTTTTGGTAAGCCTGGACACCAGCCAGCAGGCCAGTATTCATACAGGCTTGACTAACTCTCATCTTGACCTCAATTACCTGCTTGTTCCCTTTTAGAGCTTCTCGTTTTAAAAGTTCTTGTCACTGCCACTTTGACAGATCATTAGCGTTTTAAAACCAAATGAAAGTGGTCAGAGGAGATGGCTCTTAAAATGTATCCCTGAGGTTTTATGTCTGAAGGCTCAGAAAATGGTACCATTGCTAATGCTGTTGGAGGTAGAAATGTGGCATTGATTTGAAGGCAGGATGATGAGTTTCCGAGTAAAGAATTGGGAAGACAATTGGAGGTGACCCACCAGCCAGTTGAAATGTAAAATTAAAGAAAATGTGAGACCAGGTCTGGTGGGACATGTCTGTAATCCCAGGAGCCTTAAAGGCTGAGGCAGGAGGATGTCAAGTTCAATCTCAGCCTGAGCAATGTAGTGACTTAGTGAAACCTTGTTTCAAAATAAAAAGAGGTAGTAGCTCACTCAGTCCAATGTCCTGCATTGGACAGCCAAAAAAGAGAGGGGGCCACCAAGAAACTACAGCTAGATAGATATAGCAGCCATTCAACTTAATTATTTAACCACAACCACAGATAAGACGCTATACAAATATAGTCACTTCAGAAGATAAACAGTGAAAAAAAAAATCAGAAGGAAGCTAAAGAACTAAAGAAAACGAATCTTTCTGAAAAAGAGGTGAGGGAAGTACACCTCCCTGAATGAACACCAATAAAACCAAAGTAATTCTAAAAGCATCTTGTTATTACTAAACACTGAAGCTTCCTGTGCCAGCTGTCTGATGCAGTGTCCTGGGGTACATCCATGTGTGCAGGGTAAGAGCCATACACAGAAGGGTAGCAGGAAGCACTTTTCTTCTTTTCTATGACTGAGTTAGTTTGTGACTATCATATGCAGTGCTCTGAGATCTCAGGCTAAACTGAGTTGTTCAGAACTGAACCTGAGATGCTTTCCTGAGATTCCCTGTATCTCAAAAGGCATTGAGATCTGTGGTTCGGGAATACCACCCCAGCATGTGGGAGCCCAGAGGAAACCTTAATCCTGCCGGGGACTGTTAGGACCCGAGAGCAAGCTGCAATATTTCATCCATAAAATAAAGAAGCTGGATTTGATCTTCTAGGGGCCTTTTGGTGCTAAAATAAATGAATTTTCCCCGTTAAGAAAATATACCCCTTGCTTTTGCTTTTTTTTTTTTAAGGAAATATGCTATTTGGGGGAGTTGAAGAGTTTAAAAGCTAACGTCTCCTTTTGTTTTAATGAAAAGTGTCCAGTCGTTGTGGGTCCTGGCAGCACTGGGGTTTGGGGAATAGATTTTGCCCTGAATTTGAGTACTTACATTTTAAATGAAGGCTGCCACATTTCTGAGTAAATTCAGTGTTAAATTTTCTAACTTAAAAAATTGGAAGATTAGAATATTTTCATTTGTTTTTAGAAACTAGAAAATTACATTTTAAGAAACTTTTAGATTTCAGTAAGTAAGATGCTAGGGATCAGCCTTTAGCCAGAAAATTCTAATTTTGCCACCTGGTAGATGCCAACTCCACTTTGTAAATTCCAAAAAAAAAAGCAAATTTGGATCCTTTGAGAATAGGGAAGCTCAAATAACTAATTCAAGTAGTACCATTGCTCTCACATCTCCCTTTCTAATGGGAAAAGGTTTGAGAACAACAGCTGGGTATCAACCCAGTATTTTCCATGAGTTTTCAGCAGTTCTTGTAAGTGGCGAGGATTAAATGACAAAAAAATGATGGTAGCTGAGTTTATATTCTTAAGTCCTTAAACTGAAGGTTAGACAGTCACTAGTAACAATATAAATACGTAATTCTTGCAGATGAAACCACTGAATATCCAGGAGAAACAAATCAGTGTTGGTCTTGGTTTTGGTCTTATATTGGCAGATATTATAGTGGCCATCTGTTTCTTCACGACAGCCTTGATCAGGAGGAACAGGAATAGTCAGATGTCTGTTTTAAAAGCAACTGTACCAAATTAGAAAAGAAATACAGGGAAGCAGGCATTCATGCTTTCTCACAAGAAAGCAGACTCCAGAGAAATATGTAGTTGATCTTGGACAGAGCAATTTTATAATTTTGCTAAACACGTTAGAAGAAAACCTAACAAGGACCCTTATCTTTTACCATGCACTAAATTAAAATCCAAGTGGATTAAAGATCTAAGTATTAAAACAGAAACACTAAACTTGCTGGAAGATAAGTTAGGTAGAACTCTTGAAGACACTGGCATAGGAAAAGACTTCATGAACAAAGCCTCAGTAGCATGGGAACTGGCAGAAAGAATCAACAACTGGGATCTCATCTTATTCAAAAGCTTCTGTACTGCAGAATAAACCATCAGCAGAACTAAGAGACAACCTACAATGTGGGAAAAAATTTTTACCAGCTGCTCCTCAGACAAAGGACTATTATCTAGAATATATAAAGAACTCAAAACAATCAGCCCCCCCCCCAATATAAAGACCCAATTCAAAAATGGGCCTCAGAAATGAACAGACACTTCTCAGACAATGAAGTAAAAGCAGCAAGTAAATATATGAAAAAATGTTCCACATCACCGGTCATTCTAGAGATGCAGATGAAAACAACACTGAGATTCAACCTCGCCCCACAAAGAATGGCTGCTATCAAGAAATCAACCAATAACAAATGTTGGCGGGGTTGTGGGGAGAAAGGAACCCTTCTGCATTGTTGGTGGGAGTGCAGACTGGTGCAACCACTATGGAAATCAATACGGAGATACCTCAAAGAGCTGGGACTAGAGGTTCCATTTGACCCAGCCATCCCTCTGCTGGGTACCTTTCAAAATAATTAAAAGAATAATATCACAGTGATATATGCACACCTATGTTTATAGCGGCACAGTTTGTAATAGCTAAAACTTGGAAGCAGCCCATTTGCCCATCAGTTGGAGACTGGATAAAGAAGATGTGTTTTTTCTATAAAATGGAATACTACTCAGCCATAAAGAATGAGAAATTAGACTCATTCATAGGAAAATGGATAGATATTGAGGATAATACTCCTAAGTGAAATACATAAGTCACACATGTGTAAATACCGAATAGTTTCTCTGGAGTGAAAAACTTGATAGTACATAAGATCCTAATGAGATAATTGACAATGTGAAATAGGAAGAAAAGGGCTAAAAGTGTAGGGAAAATGGGAAGGGTAGGGAAAGTAATAAGGGAAAAGAAAAAATATGAGAAAATAAAAAAATGGAAATGAAGTGTTTATAAATGGGGAGGGCAGGAGTGGGTGAAGGGAGGGCAGGGACAAGGGGGAAAAGAGAACCAAGACCTGTCATGTAAAGGTACAAGATCCCAACAATGAATGTAACTGTACTGTATCCCTAAAATGTACCAATAAACTCAATTTAAAAAAAAAAAAAAAAGAAAGAAAAACTAACAAGACACATGCTCTTCCTCTCCTCAAGGAAAGATAACTAACCAGGCTCCTCATCCCACTAAAGGGAGAACCCTTTCTGCCCTTCACTTATTACATTGTTGCATGCAGCCTGTTCCTTTCCCTCCTGCTGAGTGTGAATGGTGTGCAGAAGACTGAAATATTTTCTATAATTTTTTGTTTTATGCTTTTGAAATGTGACATTACTACACAGGACTCTGTTGATTTTTTTTTTCTTTTTACAGAACCCATTTTCCAATTTAAAAATAACATATTAAGAGAGTCTTCTTTTTACCAATTAGGTCAGAGTCCCAAAATTTTAAGACCCAAACCCCATGGTTTAGAGCGAACTGACTCACAAACCGTAGGTGACTTTCCTACACGGAGAAAGGGTATGTACTTCAGCACCGCATGCTCTATGGGACATTGGGAATTTATTTACTGTGGAATGTTTTTTCTTAAAAACAAAAAAGAGCCTTACATACTACGACTGTTGTAAATAAAGCTTCCCAGCATGTTATCTCTAAAGTCAGCATTTCCAATAATACGTGATGAGTCCAGTTGTCATACCATTAACAACAGCATGTTAAATGTTTGATAATGGAATATCCAGTCTTGTCCTTTTGCAGTCTTCCCTGAACTTTTCAGGCAACAGTACATTGTTTTCTCTAAGCCTGTTAACTGCTTGTGAGTTCCAGTTGTCTCTTGTCTTTATGTGTATATATGTATAATGTATATGTATTCTGTCCTGAGGCATCATAAAGGATTATTTCTGTGTATTACTTATGCTATTACCTAGAAACTGAGAGCTAAACTATTAGCCTTTGCATGTCACAAAAGTGAAATATTAATTAGTTATAGTGTTGCAAACCTGTAATCTCAGCTCCTTGAGAGGCTGAGGCAGGAGGATCACAAATTTGAGGTCAGCTGGGCAATTTACCAAGACTCTGTCTCCAAATGAAAATTTTAAAAAGGGGTTGGGGGTGTAATTCAGTGATGGAGTGCTTGGCTGGCTTGCTTAAGACCCTAGGTTCAATTTTCAATACCTTAAAAAAAAATGAAACATTAAGAATAAATAATACAACATTCTCTATATATCTATTTTTAAGTATATGGACAAGGAAAAATTTTTAACTTGAACATTAATAAGTTTAGCTTTCATCATATTTGAGTCCATAAAAATACTTAGTCATGACCCTGTGAAATCTGTATAGTCCTTTGAAATTATTGCCTATTTTATAATTTGATGGTAATTATAACATGGTTGATTAAAATTACACATATATGAAAGACTAAAGAAACCTGGAAAAATGACTTCTTTATAAAGTGTGAGGATGAAACATAACTAAGATATTTACTCTGTATGTTTAAACAGCCTTCTAAAATATAGTTAATATTAATAAACACTATTGTTTTAGGTTTCTTGCTCACTCCATACATTTCTGAAAAATCATTTAGCCTTGACATTAAGAAAACTCTGTAGTACATATTAAAATAATTGTCTACTGCAATAATGAGATAAGTATTAAATAAGTAAATACTAGTAAATACTAAGTAAATACTACTAGTAAATAAGTAAAAATAAGTAAAGACTATTTTTAAAAAGCTAATATTAATATTACTTAATTTTATTTAATTTGATAAAGAAGTTAGTTTAATTAAATTAAAATTTGTGGCGATTATTTAAAGTAATTACAGCCATATCTTAAAGCATAAAGATATAATTTACCCTTTTATTTGTTTCCACAGTGAGTGTGAATTATTTTTAAAGATTTGATCATTAATTCTTGTGGTTTTAGCAGAATTTTAGATTTTGTTTTAGGGAAGTTTTAAAAATCCTTCCTGTGTATCATTTTGCATTTGTACTTGTCTAACTGATGCTTTGATATGGAAGAATAAGACTGTTTTCACTAGATGATTAATACCTATATTAAAGATGAAATTAGTAAAAGAATGAGTTATTGAAATAAGCATACAAATCAAACAAGTATGAAGGAGTTGCGTATCAGTCTTGTTCTCTTTCATTTTATTCATAAAATGTTTACCTAAGAACCACATATTATAATAGAGCTTTGGACTTGCAGTAAACTGTCACGAAGCATTTAGTTTGGCTGTTGCTATGTAGTGTTTAACTGTGTGAACTTGGGTAGACCAAGTAACACCTTTGGACCTTATTTCATGTGTGAAACTGGCTTATGTGAGATCTGTCAGGTATAAACTGAGATGTAGAGGATCTTGTTTGTTTTCCAAAGTTCTGTACACTAAAATCTCCTTTTTCTTTTCAGCCAAGCCAGCGCCTTTAGAAATAAAACCTTTGCCAGAATGGGAAGAATTACAAGCTCCAGTTAGATCTCCCATCACTAGGAGTTTTGCTCGAGAGTGAGTACTTTGTTTAAAATACAAACATGTTTGAATAACATAACTATCTAAAATTATTGTCACAAAAAATAGCTAAAACAGTGATTCTCGAGGCTAGTTTGTGGAGCACCTTTTGATGTTGCACAAATTCAAAACTATTCATTAAGATACTAAGAAGTTAAGTTGACTTTTCCATTCGCTCTATACAGTAGAGTTTTCCAGATCCTGATATGTGATAATAATCATGTAATGATTAATAGAATGTACATTTTTGCACTTTTGTATTTAAAAAATATTTCTATTTGTATTTGTAATATAATGTTAATAGAATAATTTATATAAAGTATCTTGAGAATCTCAATAATTTTGAAGGGTTCATGACACAGAATTTCTGACAACTACTAATCTGAAAAACATAGCAGTTTCCTTTAGGGCTTATTCAGTTGAGATTCGTTTAAATGCATATAAGGAAGTGAGAATAATTTATTAAGCTACAAACTTGTATTGAATGTGTGCTTGTTTTATAGGTATACATATAGGTAGTTTTTGAAAAATAGGAATTTTAAAGTTCTTCTTATGGATATCTACTTACCACGAATCACTGAAAATACTTATTTTTGTTTGCATCACAGAATACAATTTGATGTCCAAAGAGTGCTTTTATAATAAGCTATTTGTATTACTTGTGTGTATTTATGTGTGTTCAGAACATTGTTAGAATAAGTGTGTATAACAAACAAACATAAATGAATCTCCCAGAAAGATACACACTACTACTCATTTTTATTTTGAGAATGCATTTAGGGCTCTTATCAGGGTTCATGTTTACAGTGATAATTTCTGTGATTAGCTCCTCTAGGTTTCCCATTTCCCCCCGGCCGGATTCAGTGCACAGCACAACATCAAGCAGTGACTCACACGACAGCGAAGAGAATTATGTTCCCATGAACCCCAACCTGTCCAGTGAAGATCCCGTATGTAAAGATTTGATCCTAATCTCTCCCTTCCTGAAAAGTCCTTTCAAAGTATTTTTTTTCTATCCTCTATATTTTATCCTCATATTTTTCTCCCCAAACTCAAGGAAAAACAGAGAGACAATGTTTTTAACAATACTTTTTGCATTTCAAAAAGGAGTATCACAGTCTAACACCAGTCAATGGCCAATGTGTAATATAAGTAGAAATTTGTTGAAAATGTAAGTTTTTGTGTTGGTCAGCTCTCCATGGTTATACTAAAGCCTGAGATAACTTGTAACTGGGAAGAATTTCTTTGGGCTCGCTTGGCGGTTCCAATCCATGAGTGGTCGGCGCTATCATTTTGGGCCTGTGGCAGGAGCGAGTGGTAGGCTACAGCCACTACTGACCTCATGGCTAGGAAGCAGCAGAAAGTGAGGAAGGGGACCAGTGTTCCACAGTCCTCTTCTAGGAGACGCCACCAATGTCCCAAAGGCCTCCCATCTGAAGATGCTATTGCTTCCCAACAGTGCCCTCCCGAGGACCAAGATTGTAATGCGTGGGCTTTGGGGGAAGGTTTAGATCCAAAGCACAGCAGTTTTCCATCTCTCTTTTTTTTTGAAGGTGTACTTGATTTTTTATACTCTTTAAGAAAATATACTGGAAAAATTTTACATTGTACTTTCTGGGCTATTTTCTTATGTAGAAGGTCTTTGATAATCTTTCAGTAATATACCCTTAGGTTTAAAAGAGGAAATGTAATAAACAGTTTGTTTCAGGTTAGTTATATTACCACAAGGCATGAGACCTCTCTGATGGTAACAAGCATTTTATTCCCTAGGAATCAGGAGTTTGGCAGAAAATACTTCATATATTCAAGAACACAAACTAATCTTAATTTTTAAAGCTTTTGCTTTTGCTTTTCTTTAAATCAGATTGAATGCTTGGTCAGTGCTTGTTTAATGCTTGATAAGAGTATCGGTTAAGATTAAGTTTGCTTCTGAAAAACAAAATAAGTAACCATGACTTACAAAAAGAATTTACTTGTATTTCTTTCACATGCAAAAGTCTATGAAGCCAATCCAGGCCTATAATTCCAGCAGTCTGCAAGGCTGGGGCAGGAAGGAAATAAGAATGTGATCATTACAGCAATGTTTACCAAATCTAAGGTATTGATGAAATATATGTAATTTCACAGGATCTCATGTGTGGCTGCATAGGTGAAACAAGAGAAGACATAGTCCTAGAGAAGTTGAGTCAGGATCAGACCAAATAAAGACTAAATTCTCTAAATTGAAGTTTTGAGGCTCAGTGCATTTCCTAGACCAGTGATCATGAGGTCGGCAGTATACTGTGCAACATTCTGTCTTACCATAGTTACTTTCTCGTTGCTGGGACAAAATTCTTGATGCTCACAAGTTAAAGGAAGAGAGATTTTTCTTGGCTCACAGTTTTGTGTAGGATTCAGTCCGTAGTCAGCTGGCTTCAAGGCAGGGTGATGTGGCAGGGGTACATTGCAGAGGAGAAAGAGCTTAGGGCCTGGTGGAGAGAGGAAGACAGATGAAGGGAGGAAGGAGGCAGACGCAGTTTTCCAGGCCACGCCCCCCGACCTACATCCAGGCCTTGCCTTCGACACCACAGTTAGCTGTAAACTTACCAGTGGACTAGTTCAGTGATGAGTATCACACCGCATGATCCAGTCACCTCCAGAAAGCCCCACCCTTGGCACGTGAAGTTTCGGGGGGAAATCTAGATACAAACCACAACACATTCATATAAAGATCAAGTCATGCATTCCTCAAGAGGACCCCGTTGTGACACCTGAAATTTGAGTGATGGGTCACCATCGTCGCAGACATAAATATTATGACAGCACCAGCAACACAAATATCCTAAAACGATTTTATGCATTTTTAAAGAATTGTAGAAAAACCTAGCACCACTCTTTTGTTATTTAACCCAGAGTACTTACAGTAACTCCTAATATCGTAATGCTTCTCTAAAAAACCTGGGGAAATACTGGGTAAAAGGCCAGAACAGGATGTTTCCTGCTGAGATTAGATCAAGAGCAAAGAACGTCCTTGTAGACATATCAATTTAACAGTAAAAAAATTACAGTTCTAGGAGGAATTAAACATAAAATTCAGCTAGCAATTCTGAGAAATTTTCTTTTTTTTTTTTTTTTTTTTTTTTTT